CTAGTCTGTAGTGCAAAGGGGAGAAGACTGGTGATCAAAAAAAACCTACAGCTTAAAATAGGAAAGACCAATCAGATAAGATTAGCTTCCTCATGTGGAGAGAAGCCAACTGCAATGATAGATAAACAATGGGTTTCCTGCAACTGTATAAAAGCCAAAAGCCCAGAGAAAGGAAATGCAGTGGAAGAGCTGTGTGATAAAGACCTCATTTTAAACCTTAGAACAACAGTTTACAGTTACCAGAGCTATGCAATGCCTCAATCCAGCAGGATTTACTGAAAAGCTGCAATCCATGATCATGCTTACATCAAGAACGCAGATAGCTTTGGGAAGGGGATACTCCCGATGTACTTGAGGCCTTTGCTTACTTTAGCCCATCATATTAGAATATACCACATGACCTCCAAGAGAGATCAACACATCCTAACTTAATTCTCATTTCACTCAAGGACTTGCAGCTGTAGAATGGATACATGGAATAGATTGTGTTCTCATCTAGTGATGAGGGTATCTGCATTCTGAACAGTGGACTACAAATATTAGCATTTAGCTATCATCAATATCTATTTCCTTTGTCAGTGGCTCAGCACTACGCAGTCCTGGGATGGAGAAAGACAAGCTATTCAACAGCTGGCCAGCAACCCTACACAAGAAAGGAAGAATTATATCCAAAAGGAACTGGAGGAGATCTTTGAGGAGCCCAGCTACAATTTACAAAGATAACATCCCAGTTACAACCCACCCCCCCAAAAAAAACCCTCACCTACTTGATCTGAGAAAGTGGGTCTGGCCCACGAAAGCTCACCACCTAATAAACCATCTTGTTAGTCTTTAAAGTGCTACATAGTCCTGTATTTTGTTTCAGCTACAGGAGACTAACACAGCTACATTTCTATCACTATTCTACTTAACCTAGTGAAGGGTCAGAGCGTAGCAGTCACAGGACCTTAGTTTTCCTCTCTTCTCAGCATACGGCCTTTTACAAGTACCCAGGAGAACCGTGGGTTGTATGCTGACACAGGCGAAAAGCCACCTATCACCATTTCCTGCAGTGCCTGTATTCTCCTTGGAGTCTCCCACCCAAGCGTTGACCCAGGCAGATACTGGTGAGCTCAGTGAAGGGTCAGAGCGTAGCAGTCACAGGACCTTAGTTTTCCTCTCTTCTCAGCATACGGCCTTTTACAAGTACCCAGGAGAACCGTGGGTTGTATGCTGACACAGGCGAAAAGCCACCTATCACCATTTCCTGCAGTGCCTGTATTCTCCTTGGAGTCTCCCACCCAAGCGTTGACCCAGGCAGATACTGGTGAGCTCAAAGCCGAGCTCTCCCGCCCCCAGGAGGGGTCTTTCCCGTGCACTGGGGCGGCACAAGACGCTAGCCACAGGGGGCTGGC